GTAAATTTATTTTTTCCAATCTTCAGATATAAGGCTTTTCCATGAAAACACTCTGATTATTTATGTCTCACTAATTATCAAACATTATATAAATAGTCCTATACTGAATGAAGAATCAGAGCCAGTCACATTATAGAAAAGAATCTGTGACTTTCTAATCTTGCCATGAGTAGCAAGTTATTCTAACAGTTTAATCATGGAATTATTCAAATTTGCTCTGTCAACAAATTGAAGACTCTCAATCAAATATATAACATTGCTGAAATGAAGAAATATTTCCAGTATAAACAGGACTGAACTGATAAATCAGTGCTTTCTCCTCTTCAGATTCAGATTGAAAATGATGGTTGTTTTTCCGAGCTAGAAGAAAAAAAAGTTAATTTTTAAAAATATTAGATGACAAAATCTTCAAGAGACTATTTTATAACATTTCTTCCTGCAATTAGCATTATTAAGTGGGAAAATATCAACAAGAAGAGAAATGCGACTGCTCTGCCTATAGAGCAGCCATCTTTTTTTTTCTTTACTTCTCTAATAAACTTGCTTTCAAGGAGGAGGAGGAGGAGGAGAAGGGGGAGGGGGAGGGGGAAGAAGGAGGAGGAAGAGGAGGGAGGGAGGGAGGGAAATGCTTTACAACATTTCCCCAAATAAAGCAGTGCCCGATTTATGGCACAGTCACCCACAGACACAGCAGCTGTGCTGCATTCGCCCTGCAGCATATCCCATGTGGTGCTCAATCAGCAACTCATTCAAATACTTACCAAGTGGCTATGTGTACACAAGACTTGATACACAGCCTGGGGATGGAAATATAAACAGAACAGATCCTAACACTCAAGAAGTTCAGCCTCGTAACCACACAGAATCATATGATAAAAATGTTTTTATGGCGTATCATCACTGGATGCTACAAGAGCAAAAAGGATGGAGAAACTGGCGAAGCTGAGGCAGACGGAGAAGTGAGACATTTTCACAGGTAAGGCAGAATTACGAAAAACTAGGAGGCACAGTGAGAAGTTTGGCATGATGGAAGCTGAAATGTGAGGAGGTGAGAGCTCCTAGAGCTCCCAAAGTCAAAGTAAATACAGGCTCTTACGGCATTTTTAGAAAGAAGAATGTTGGAAGATAAAGACCACATAGACTAAATGCCACGTGACTACTACTGCAGCAAATGCGGCACTGCCACTGCTGCCCTCATTCACTCCACACACACATGAAAACGTTCCTTTGGACTAATACTGTATATGGGATACTTTTTTTTTTTTAATTTGGAGTTTTTGTCATAAAACCACCCACTCAGCTTTGCATTATTCTAAAGCAGAGTAAACTCAGTAGGAAGTACTTAACTTCCCAGCAATGGCAGGAGAGTTGATAAAAACTTAGGGCAAGCTTGGAGATGGAATGACAACAAAGTTCACTGAAGTCTTTAAATGGCTATATCTCACCAAAGTGATCTCTATCCTTTACAAGTTGTTTCTGTACCTCTGTCTTACAGTCTCACTTAACATCATTGATAGGTTCTTGTACTACTTTTAAGCAAAACAATGTATAACAAAAGCATTTTCCATCAATGTTATAATGAAACAGCTTCAAAGTAAACAATGTTGTTCAAGGACCTGCTATACACAGTTCTGCTTAAATCATAGGACTTATTGTACCTAAAATGCTCAACTAAGAAATGAGCGTTTACAACCAAATTCTTGGTTTACCATAAACATAACACAGCATGAATATGTCTATGTTTTCATCACCAAAAAGCAGGCAGAGTTTATCTGCTTTCTCCACTATGCCAACGCCTACAGACAGGTAGCCTTAAAATCACCAACTGGTGGTATATATTCAATTTCTATCACTGTCTTGGAAAAGTAACACCTAATTCTCAGAGACTGTTATAATTAAAGCATTATTCTTAAAAATGGAGAGTAATGGGGAAGAATCTAAATGAAAAGTATCCGAGAAGAAAGAGCTCGGCATGGTAGTGTGCACCTGTAGTCCCAGCAACTCAGGATGCTGAGGCAGGAGGATCCCCTGAGCCCAGGAGTTCGAGGCTGCAATAAGCTATGATCACATCAATGCATTTCAGCCTAGGCAACAGAGCAAGATCCTGTCAAAACAAAACAAAACAAAACAAAAACAACAAAGAAAAAGAAAGAAAGAAAAAAAACTCTCAACATTCTTTATGCTGTTGTTCAAGAATTCTGCCCACTGAAGCATGTATGATACTGTTAATTGAAATAACTGTCCTGGTTTTATCAGAATACCTAACATCTCAATTTCAGGGCTTTCACATTACTTAACATTTGTATTATTCATTAAAGTTAAACCTATAGAACTTTCAAAACATTTATAGAGCAAAAAGGTAGGTAAAAGTTCAGATGAGGGCAATTTTCTTCAAAACCACCCCAAAATGACAAAATTATATACCCTCATATTACCTTCATTAACAAAAAACTCTGCTAAATAAAATGCAGTTTTCACAGCATTAGGTGCATGGGAAATGCCATCCAAATTCTTCCACTCATAAGGTGCTTTCTCTGGATGCCATTGGACACCATATACTGGATATTTATATCCTGTAAGAAGAACACAAATTAGTAAGTACTAAGAATGGTTTAAGATGTTACTTATAATGAAATTGGTTTATGTCTTATGTAAAACATATTATAACTCACAATAGCAGACAAGGTAAAATTGTACATATTCTCTCAGACACAAAATAATTTCCATTCACACTCACTGTGAAAATTCCCAGTAATGTACTTCACTGATTAGCAAACCTTTTACAATTTGTAGAGCGATTTGCTTTTCAAGATATTCATAGCAAAGTAGAAGCTGAGCTGAGGAATGTATCCCCGTCCAAAAGTCAGACGCACATTTTATTGGTGATACAAGCTTCTTCCACAGTTGGTCTCTTTCTCTCCTGTCTCATAACATGCTTTCCTGTCCTCCCATAACGACTTATTCATATGAGAATGAAGTATGGCAGCACTTCTGGTGTCCTTTCACACAAGCCAGTTTGTCCCAGCCTGAACTGTGTCTCTCTCTCTCAGTCTATGGAATGACTGATGACTTTGTGGTATACATTTTTAAAATATTTTTTAGAAATTTAAAAGCATACATAAAACAAGAAGGGACACAGAGCTACTGACAATCGTCGAAGCTAACTGAGACAGACACCCAGGGTTCATATTACTCTCTCTACTTTTACATAAGCATGAACAATTCCACAATTCAAGAAAATGTAAATATGTGTAATAGTTACCTTCAGAAAAATACACATATTCATCTCTTTTTCAGATGTGCCTTTCCCTCATTTTGATTTGAAAAAAATAAAAATCTCCCCTCTATTATTTTTTGCTTTGGAATTGTAACCATGACCACCATCAGAAAGTACTTGGAGGAATGAAGACAATTAATGAAAGAAGAGATATCTAGGGGTAAGAGCACTGTCCATTCTCATCCCAGTAAGCTTTCTGACTAGAGAGCAGGCCACGGAAGGGAAACATTTTATCCCAGTTTTGTGGATATTCACGAGAGGAAACACCCGCCTCATGCAATTCCAGGCACTCAGCTCCCTGCTTCCCTCACTTTCGTGTGACACTACCATTTCTTCCTCTCTATTCTGGGACTACCTGTGAAGCTACCGGCAAGAGGCCCACAGGCTGGGGGACTAGCAAATTAACTGTGATGTACGGTTAACTGAAAGGCAGATCTTCTAGTAAATTTTCCAATGCATGAAGCACTATTGAGGACAAAAAGTGTCTTAAATCATAAAAAGGATTTACATCCAATAGAATCAGAGACAGAAAGAGAAAGAGAGACATACATAACATATATATAAGAAGTCTTCAAAAAGCTCATGGAAAATGTGTATTATGAAAAAAATTATGCAAGGGTTTCAACTTTTTCGCACCAAAATAAACTTGAAGTAACTTGTATGAACAGGATCGAGTATGAGGCACTAAGAAGGATAAGACATCAGTTTTAAAAGAACCCCTGTAACAGCAATATGAATTTTGCTAAAATTGAAGACAGAAAAAATAGCAAATTTATGGTGAAGCTTGGATGAAAGAATGGTGAAATCACTAACGCTTTATGAAAAATGTATGGGGATAATGACCCAAAGAAGTCAGCAGTTTCCCAATGGATAACTCATTTTAAGACGGAATGACACAATGTTGAAGCCCTCCAGGCAGACTATCACATCAATTTGCCAGGAAAATATGTATCTTGTTCGTGTCTTAATGGAAGAAGATCGACAATAAACAGCAGAATAGCCAATACCACAGACATCTCAATTGGGACAGCTTACACAACCCTGACTGAAAAACCAGAGTTGAACAAACTTCCCACTCGATGGGTGCCAAAACCACTGCACACAGATCAGCTGCACACAAGAGGAGAACTTTCAATGGACATTTTAACAGGTAGGATCAAGACCCTAAAGCATTACTTTGAAGAACTGCCACTGCAGATAAAACACGGCTTTACCAGTATGAACCTGAAAACACAATCAAAGCAATGGCTACCAAGACATGGAAGTGGTCCAATCAAAGCCAAAGTGAACTGGTCAAGGGCAAAGGTCATAATGTTTTTTTTGGATGCTCCAAGGCATTTTGCTTGTTGATTTTCTGGAGAACCAAAGAACAGTAACATTTGCTTTTTATGTGTTTTCAGAAAGTCAGCCAAAGCTTTAGCAGAAAAACGCCCAAGAAAGCTTCTCCAGAGTCCTTCTCCACCATGACATTGTTCCTGCTCATTCCTTTCATCCAACAAGGACTATTTAGTGAGCATTTTGATGAGAACCTATTAAGACCTTATGGTCCTGATTTGGCTCCTTCTGACTTATTCTTGTTTCCTAATCTTAAAAAGTCTTTAAAGGGCACTTATTTCTGTTAAGAATGTAAAAAAGACTGCATTTGACATGGTTCAATTCACAGGACTCTCAGTTCTTTAGGGATGAACTAAAAGGCTGGTATCATCATGGGCAAAAATGTCTTAAACTTGATAGAGCTTGAGAAACAAAGTTTATAGTTTTTATTTTTATATTTTAATTCAATTTTTCCCATAAACTTTTTGAAGTCACCGACATTCAGTAACAAGTGAAATTTACTCTTCTTTAGTAAACTGCATTACTAAAAGACCAGTGCAGTTTCCTGAAAATGAGGAATCATACCCTGCCTCACTGATTTAGACAAAAGTATCAAGAGTGGAAAGAAAATATGCAAATAATAAAGCATCTCAAGTGTTCCTATTTTGGAGGTGGGAGAAAATTTTCAAATGAGCCTGGTATGGCATAGTCAAAAGCAGAACCAACATGGAACCTGATTCCCTAACTTCTAACCCAATATTCTGTCATTTAAATAAGTAGGCATTCATTCAACATCTATGAGGTTTACATAAAGCCCTGGAAACACAAAGGAGAATAAGATACAGTTCCTGATCTCAAAGAGCTCTTCATCTAGAGGGATGGTGGAACAAGAGCAAATACGTGCTCTTAGGAAACATTCCCACATAGCACAAAGCACCAAGGTTGTGGAGAAGAGGAATGATGGTAGAGAAGGCCTCTAGGGATGACAAGTGGCCTGGGTTTTTCAAGATGGCTAAGAGTTCATCAGGAGAAACAAATAGGGGAAAGCGGGAGCTTTTCAGAGAAGAGGAAAGCACATGAGGAGCGCAGAGCCAAGAAGCATGGCTCTGTGGAAGGGCTGTGTGTAGCAGGGTCATGCTACTCTAGCAGGGTACAAGCTAGAGGTGAAGGCAGAGAGAGGGCGTGGAGGAAGTGAGCTCATAAATCTAGACTTCATCCTCCCATGCAGAGGAGCCACTGAGGAGTTTTGCTCAGGCAATGCTATCAGACTGGTACTTCAGCAGACCACGAGTGGGTGGCTGGAAGAAGATGGGTTTGTGGAAGCCTTAGGAGGCTGCTGCTGCAGCAATCCAGATAGCAGGTGGTTAATGCTGATGTAGTGAGGTCTGCCGGATTGGGAGGAGGAAACATGACTAATACTTCCAAAGCCCTTCTACTGTCCTTCCCACCCCTTCAGCTCTCATATTTATTCATCACCCCATCCTTGCCTTAAATTTACCACCAAACAATACATTGTTTCTTTTTTGCCAAATTTTAATCATCATATAAATGAAAACATACAGCATGTATTCCCTTGGGACTTGCTTCAACTCAAAATTGTCTTCATAATTCATTCAGTGGTACACGCCAGTGTGCTCACTGATTTTAATAGCTATGTAGTATTACTTATCCTTTGCACTATTGGACTTTTGAGTGGTTTCCCATTTTTTTGCTGGTATGAACATAATGTCACGTACATTTCTACATACATGAAATTATTTAATTAAGGTATTTTTTAACCAATAAATAAAACTGCCAGGTAACAAAACTGGAAAATGTTTGATTTTACTAAGAAATGCCAAAATGTTTTCCAATCATAAGTGCACGAAAGCACCTGCTGTGCCACATCCTGGGTAACACTAGTTATCAGCAGGCTTCTTAATTTTGCCAATCTGATGGGTATAAAATGGTTTTTACTTTGGTTTCCATTTGCATTCCCTGATAATGAATTAATTCCCTGTAATTACACTGAGCAACTTATCTCACCAAGCCATAAGTGGACAAGTTTCTCTGGTATGGTATCTATTCAAATATCATATCCTTTTTTTTTTTCTTTTTTTTTTTTTGAGGCTGAGTCTCACTCTGTCGCCCAGGCTGGAGTGCAGTGGTGCAATCTCAGCTTACTGAAACCTCCGCCCGCTAGGTTCAAGCAATTCTCCTGCCTCAGCCTCCCAAGTAGCTGGGATTACAAGTGTGTGCCACCACGCCTGGCTAATTTTTGTATTTTTAGTAGAGACGCGGTTTCACTAGGTTGATCATGCTGGTCTCAAACTCCTGACCTCAAGCGATCTGCCGCCTTGGTCTCTGAAAGTTCTGGGTGAGCTACCATGCCCAGCCCTCATATCCATTTTTCATAAGTTATCTTTTCTTCTTAAATTACATAGCTTTACTGTATGTAAGCTAGACGCACAACTTTTGTCAGTTATATGCATTACAAATACCTCCCCTTTTTTTCTTGTGTAATTTGTTTCCTTTTATGAACACAACTTCTTCATTTGATTGAATTCATCAATCTTTTCCTTTATGGTTTGTTTATATTTTGTCTTCAAAACTCCTTCCCTTAAACAAGATCATAAAGACAATTCTCCTTTACTTTTTCTAAAACCTTATTGTAGTGTGCCTTTCTCCTTAGGTCTTTTATCCACCTGAATTTTTTTTTTTTGAACACAGGAAAAAGAGTCTGTCTCTGTCCTACTTTTTCCCATTCCTTCAAGAGTTCTGGTTAGGTATGTAAGAAATCACTTTACCCTTCAGATTCCCACCTTTCTTCTGACACATTTGGCATTTACATTTACATGTCTGGCTATGTTGGATTCTGAATGTTTCCTTCACATCTATCTTCTATTCTAGTTCATTAACTTCTCCTCAACTGTGTCTAACCTTCTGATTAACATGTCTACTGAGGGTTTTATTTCAATTACAATTTCTTCTTTTTTTTTTTTGAAACAGAGTCTCGCTTTGTCATCCAGGCTGGAGTGCAGTGGCACAGTCTCGACTCACTGCAACCTCCAAGTAGGACTACAGGCACATGCCACCATGTCCGGCTTTCTTTTTTTTTTTTTTTTTTTTTTTTTTTAGTAGAGACGGGATTTCACCACATTGGCCAGGCTGGTCTTGAACTTCTGACCTCAGGTGATCCACCTCGGCCTCTCAGAGTGCTGGGATTACAGGTGTGAGCCACCACACCTAGCCTCAATTATAATTTCTAATAGCTGAATTTGGTTATTTTCAAATCTGATTGTTTCATGCCTATATTTGCAAGCATTCTTATTTCTTTCTTTAAAACTTAAAATATATTATACTTTATCTCATAATACTAATATCTAACATTTATGCAGGTCTGCTTCCACATCTGTTATCTCTGCAAGTTCTCATTCACAGTACTTTGCTTGCTTGTACATTAGTAGTATTTTGGCTGTGAAGTGTTCATTTTCCTTCAAACTTCATATATGGAAATTCCGTGAAGCCTGGGATGGACCTCTGGTCCTCTCAAAATTATTATTTACATTTGCTTCAGCGTCACATGTGAGGGCATTACCAGTCTGAGACAACCCTGAACAAAATTACTTACTTAATATTTGTCCAACTTCCCAGTTAGTATAATGCTGGCCACACTAGGAGAACAGCCCATCATTATAAACATTCAAGGCTTTATTCACTGACCCCCACCCCACTCCCTTAGCCCCAAGGCTCAGGATGGGCAATTCTCCTTGCCATTCTGTAGGGCGGATTCCAGCTGTATTTTGAGTTCAGCCTGACATTGCAGGTATAGCCTTCCAAGTCCTGCTCCATGTAGAGGGTCCTGACTGTCTCAAGTTCTCCTGATTCAGTAACAACACTGGTTTAAATATTCCACTCAACTCTTAAAATTTTGAACCTGAGTATCTTTATTTGTTTGCCAATTCATCAGCGTATTTACTATGTTTTTCCGTTATCACCCACATTTATTTTGTTGTTGGCTGGAGGAAAGTTTATCAAGTTATTTAATCTGCAATATTGCCAGAAACAGAAGTCATTTTCTTCATTTCTTTCTTCATCTCCACCCCCTTTATTCTTTTACTTTTCTTCTTCACCACTTCATTCAGGAAAATACCCAGGAAAACTGCAACTAATTTGAAACACGGACAAAACACGTCTCCTGTCTCCGAAAATGCCCTAACATCCATCTTCAGGCCCCAAAGTAACATGATTTTAAGACATACAAAATCAAAACTCAAAAATATAAAATAAATGAAATAAAGTGTACATGCTAAAGTGATATACCTTCCATTGATGAAATAAACTCAATCTCGCCATCTGTATTTGTAGTTAAGACACTGAAAAACTTCTTTAACTTTTCATTCATCGTAAAATTCTAGAATACGAAAACAAAACAAAATGATTACTTCTGCAGTTATTCTAAACATATTAATTTCATAGTGTAATTAGTGTGATACCTTCATGGAGAGGCTCCACTTATGGAAATTGGCAGTCAGAGGTTCTACTGCTAACGACAGCAACAACTCAGTAGGAAAATTCTGGAACATTCTGCTGTGTAATTGACCTGAAATAATTTAAGTACAAGAGAAATAATTTAAACACACAAAAAATAAAATCCACTGAAATCGCTTATCTGCACCCAAAGAGAAGCCATTATGAAGATATAATCAAGATGACTAAATGATAAGCAAAACACATCATTTCCATAGAAGTATTCCAATCAAGTTACAAAATGTGTTTAACATAAACTCAAATATGCTCCAGATATAAGTAATTTTCTTCTAGAATTTTAACATGAATAAGTAAAATTCTTCTGATATGAGTATTGGCAAGCTACAGAACAGGCAGGGAATCTTAACTAGATTTCCACAGACTATTCTGAAAAACAGTTAAAACTTTCCATGGGTGTACGTATTTGCCCAGGAAAGGATCCAAAACTTTCAACATATTTTCAGAAGTATCTGGGACAAACAAATAAAAATAAAAACAATGTAGAAAAGAACACGAACGAAGCCAAGAAATTTTGACTCAGTAAACAGATCAAAAAGCAATATATCTTAGTGGTCAACCCTGAAGGTACTGCACAGACTCAAACACCAACAAACAGATTTAGGAAAAAAGAAACTGACGTTTTCAAGGCGATAGTGCCAACTGTTGCAAACCAGGCCCCTTATTCTTGCTAGAGACTTCCATGAAAATCGCAGCTCCCTGAAACATTCCTTTTCTGTATAAACTGGGTTCTGGCAACAGAACCAAAGTACTCTGACCTAATACATGTACTTCCCACCGGGTTTTTGCAATTATTAAGTGAGACAATGGAAGAAAGAGCTTTCAAAAGCATAAAGCATTCTATAAGTTTTAAGTATGACTGCTACTTTCCTTGCAAAATCCTCAAGAGAACAGAAATAGCTGGTGGCTTCAATTCTAAGCATTCAGAGATCAAGTAACCAACAACAATCATTATCTACTTATACAGAGTGGTATCATTAAGAATCTTTCTGGTCTTCGTCCTGGGTTCCTGACAGGAAGCTTCTAAAACCCTTAGAATTCCTGGAGTGATAAAAGTATTTTTGTTATGCTAATGTGGTAATTCAAGGTAGGTCCCTCAAATATTTCAGGATGAAGACTAATCACTAGGAACACTAACTTCATGATCAGAAAGTTGAAACTTCGAGCCAGCCCAATCAATCTCCAAGTATGAAAGAGGGGCTGGAGATTTGAGTTCAGTCACATAGGCAATGATTCAATCAATTATTTCATAACAACATTCCAGTAAAAACTCTAGACACCAAAACTCACTGGAGTTCCTGGTTGCTGAGTAAATACAGCGCTTCCCGGTGCATCCTCTAATCCCAGCACTTTGGGAGGCCAAAGTGGGCGGATCACCAGAGGTCAGGAGTTTGAGACCAGCCTGGCCAACATGGTGAAGCCTTGTCTCTACTAAAAAGACAAAATTCAGCCAGGTGTGGTGGGGCGCCTGTAGTCCCAGCCACTCAGGAGGCTGAGGCAGGAGAATCCCTTGAACCCTGGAGATGGAGGTTGCAGTGAGCCGAGATTGTGTCACTGCGCTCCAGAGTGACAGACTCTGTCTTAAAAAAAAAAAAAAAAAAAAAAAAAAAACTTATTTAATTCTCACACACAAAAAACCCCTAAGCGTTAGACCCTTTTGCAAATGAGGACACTGAACCTCAGAGGTAAAAATGATTCCTCAAGGTCAAAGTGAGAAAACTAGGACTCAAAACCAGATTCCATTTCAGAGTTCTTCATCACACACAGTCCTGATATCACTAGAAGCAATGAGTTATTAAAATTCACAATTCCTTAAGTCATCCTCATAAATGAGTATAAGGATGGTAATTCACATCTTCAACCTGTGTAAATAAATTAAATGCTAATGTTGTAAGCATTTTTTTCTTCAGGGAAAAGGCTAAAAAGAAAATAAAAATAAGCACTTTTACTTTCATATTTGCTACTTACTAATCCTGCCCAGCAAATATTTTTTAGAGGGTTGAAAGAGTACTCTCACCTCCAGTGAAGTTCAGCGGCATTGCCACGTCAACAGTATTTGTGACAGTTAATAAGAACTCTCCACTAATCAGTAGTGAAAGCTCTTCAAATCCAAGGCATGTGCCCCACACAGGAAAATAGTCTCCATCATGAAAACTCTTTGCAAGTAGAAAAAGAGAAAACTAAGTTTATTCAAACTTTTCAAAATAAAAATTAGCCATATCTTTTGTCATTACCAAACAGGCACCTGAGTTACACATGGATTTCTGAAGCATTCTCCAGGATCCATAAGTAGGCTATCACTTACTCTGTCTTCAGACCAAGCTCCCACACAGGCTGGAAAACATGAGCTGTGGACACACTGTATATCTTGACCCAAAGACTATAAAAGCCTACAGATTACTGACCTTAGCTATTAAAAGTTTGAAACAAGTATTTCAAAGGCTAAAAACACTTATTTAGAGAAATATTTAAGCGGGGATTGGTAAGATACTAGGGCTAGCAAGATTAATTTAAAAATCACTGTTAATAGTTGAGGAGACAAACAGTAAGGGTTTGAGCTATGGTACAAAGGCAGTCCCACTGTGACCATTACAAAGGAGAAGTCAGAGGCTCAGAAGCTCTGCTTGGTAAATGAACATGGAGTCTACGGTAACTGTGAAGAAAGTTCTAATAGGATTGAATGAGTTGGGAAGAAGAACAGATTTCAAGAAGTGAGAATTAATAACATAGAAACAATGCCGCAAAAAAATAAAATAAAATAAGAGGACAGAGAGAGACATCAGAATGTCTACACCACATGAGGACATGGTTCACATTAACAAGCATCAAGAGAGGACCAGTCAGCAGGGCTCTGAAGGGTCTCTGGAAGCCCAGGATTAGATGAAGCACATGGAAAACACTTTTATTTGGGCGCAGCCAAGAACAGGTGCCTCAAGGTTAAAGGTATGATGACGCTAAGGGTAATTTTGAAGGGAGCATTACCATCTGCTTAAAACAAGAACTACTCTCACTAAAACTTACAAAACTTACAAAAATCCATCTGGAATAACAAGCAATAACTGATATTTACCTGTATGGACAAGTCGTAAAATATTTTGGCCACTTTAGCATAATCTGAGCGCCTCAGGTCAACACTTCCTCCAGGGAAAAGGATTCTGAAACAACGTCACATAAATCAAATAGGGTGTATTTTGCCACCCCTGACCCATACACACACAGAAAACAATCTTTTTATTTTAAAACAATTTTTCTTATTACATATGCAATAAGATCCTTGAAGAAAATTAGAAAAACAAAAAAGAAATTATAAAATATCTACAATCCCAGCCATTCAGAAACTACAGCAGTTAACAACACTTTAGAGAATATTTTCCAAAAACCTCTTCAAAAAGTTTATTTGATGAAATAGAGTGTGGGAAAATTAAAAGTAAATAAGTAGGGGAGGGGCAAGAGTACACAGAGCTAGATATCAAAGACGGACAAAATTCCAGGTTTAGCCAGGTTTAAAAGAAGGTGATCTGTCATGCCAAATCAATTGCAGGTGGGTAGGACTTAGCTCACAAATAATTTAACTATAAAGAACAAGCTGGTCATAAAAAAGATATTTAAGCTGGAATTAAATTTCTACAAGAACTTAATTCTTATCATCCTGAGTCTCTTCAGAAATACACATGGTATTAGAACATTTTTTTCAAGAAACATAATTACGATTCTACAAAAAGTCTAGGAAAAGGAGGCAATCAAAAATATTTGATATTCTTTCACACACTTATAAAGGTGAAATATAGAAAACTATTTTCATGTTTTTATATCAACTTTTAAAATTAAACTTTTAAATTTATAATTTATAGCAACGTCTTGAAAGAACCAAGGATATTCAAAAGAGGTAAGAAAAATGGTATTAAACATATTAAAATTTTGAAAATATTTAAATACAAGTTTGAGGTATGTGAAATATCACTTGTGAGATTGTTGTTATTCAAGAAATATATTCTGTTTCTTCCACGAGCTAGACTCAGGACTTGCCTAGAGAGACAAACATGAGTGGTTTTGCTGTTAGGAAGATCACAGTCTGGTAGAAAACATATAAGCATCTGTGTGGAAGAACATCTACCACAAACCCAAGCAGAAAATCTCACAATTAAAAGTGGCTTAGGGAAGACTCATTAGCTTCTCTCTTTCCATTAACTCAGTATTTTTTAATTTTTATGTTTTGCATCCCAGGTCTCCAGCTTACAGACATTAACTTAGTATTTAAAAAGCTGCCTCTGATCAAATATGGTATGTCTAACCCCAAAGTCCTTTCATGCAGCAAAACCTGACTGTCCCTCCTATATGACAAACTCCTTAAGGCATGGCTCTGTCTTTTCATCTCTGTTATTCCCCCTGCAAAATACTATGGGGTCCAATGCATAATAGTGACTCAATAAAGGTGCTTTTGGAGTCACATTAGAATACAGCTCATTTTCTGGTGACACTCCGAGATATAAATAAGGCCCCCAATTTAACCCACTTTGGAGTGCAGCTTTCAGTGACTACATGAGAGAGAAAAGGGGCCTACAGGAGCAAGAATTAGTGGCAATGCAGAAAGCAAGTGAGGAAGATAGAAAATGGACTCATTTTGGTGGTTTGCATGAAGACATACTGATCAAATGGACAGGCTAGCTCCCAAAAGTATGTATTACTGTCTACACTGCTACTTGATTTCAGATTCCTCTCCAAACAGGAATGCAATTGGGGAGAGGGTGGGAAGAAAATGAAGTGATTCAAAAGGTCTATTTTTGAGGTTCTACTATTACATTCTAGCCTAGACTTAATGATCTTTGTCCATGCCAAAGTACCTTGCACACAGCACATACTGGGCATTGTAAATGTTTTACTAAATTGAAATGATTTTACAGTAAATATTTACTGAACCAAACTGAACTGAAAGCAAATAATTTTCTAAACATGGCTTTTTAAAAAAATTATTATACTTTAAGTTCTAGGGTACATGTGTACAACGTGCAGGTTTGTTACATATGTATACTTGTGCCATGTTGGTGTGCTGCACCCATCAACTCATCAGCACCCATCAACTCGTCATTTACATCAGGTATACCTCCCAATGCCATCCCTCCCCCCTCCCCCCTCCCCATAATAGGCCCCAGTGTGTGATGTTCCCCTTCCCAAGTCCAAGTGATCTCATTGTTCAGTTCCCACCTATGAGTGAGAACATGCAGTGTTTGTAAACATGGCTTTTTAAAAGAAACAATAAGTTAACATGGTTTTAGAAGTAAAAATAATAAAGCTCTTTTTAAAAAATGTTTTACAGTAAAATACTTCCTCCCACCCTATTCCCAATCAGAAATGACTGCCATTAAAATCTGCTGTGTTGATTTGTAGAAATATGCATATCTCTTCACCCTGACTTTTAACAAAAAGCAAACGGGGTGTATGCTATACACACCATCACATGCCTTGCCTTTTTCACATGGGGGACAATGGTGATCCAAGTCAGCATCTGCAGATAATCTCATTTTTTAATTCCTGCATAGTATTCTATTAAATGTACATAGTCTGTTTTATTTCACCAATTCTCACCTGACGGACTACTGGGTGACAGTCAGACAATACTACTAATACAATGCATATATCTGAGTCTAAGTCTTCATGCAATGTGGGATATACTTATAAAATAAAATTCCTCCTCAAGTTCCCAGGTCAAAGGGTGTATGTACTTCTAATTTCAATAGGTATTGCAACATTATCCCAAAATAGACTACATGATTTACATTTCCTCTAATAAAGTATGGGCATGCCTGTTTCCTCACAGGCCCTATAGAGTATAAGCAAATTTTCTGATCTCTGCCAACTTGGTAATTAAATGTTTTTGACTGCTGTAATTAGCCTTCTTTCCTAAAATTAAGAGTAATGGTGGACATTTTTTTTTCATATGATTAGAAGTCTTGTTCTGTGAGCTAACATATCTTTTGTGGTGAAACCAGAGAACAGAACAGTTTTTTCCAATATACCCAAAAAAAAAAAAAAATCAACATCCTCAGACTTTGGACTTATAAACTCCATATGCAAGCAGTATGCCATGCCATTCAAGGTAGCTTCAAACATTTAAGACAAGCATTAAAAGAACAAAGATTAAGTCACACGTTTAAAAAAATTATGTGTGTCTACTATGTAACAATTATACATTTTCTAACCTGCCTCTTCCTCTTTTGAAGAACTTTTGCATCTCCCAAGAAAATATATCCTATAAAAGAACTCAGAAAATACTATACCACTCTAAGATAGTTACAAAGAAACATGTATAATATTTGTATGATTTCCTTCACAAAAGCAGACATGTATGTAGACCACTCATATACCGCATCAAACCAATGCTGCCAACTTACCCATTAATAGATTTGAAAAGTATTTCATAGTCTTTCTCTGTAAGATCCAGCCTGAAAACAATAAAAACAGTTATTGTTATATTTGTGAAACTTACAAGTAAACCTCTAAACGAAGTCACCACATTACTTTTAAAAAGCCAAATAAAAACTGATTTTTAATTACTAGACAATATTATCTACTTTCCTAGAGGCATTTTTGCAAACCACTTGAAAGTCACATAATTCTATCCTTGTTTTGCTAATCAGACAAGTAAATATGCTTTTCTGTGATCTAATGTAATTTAATATTGTGAAGTATGTTTTAGTATGCAAAACATTAAAGACTGTGAGATTTAGGCACCAGTAATTTCTCTACTAACCAAAAACTACAAAAAGAAATGTAAGAATAGTCAGTAGTTTTATGTAAAGACTCCTTTAAGTAACTTTATCATGCCTATTTAACTACAGGCAGCTCTGGCAGATGAAAAAATATATAAATAAATGTCAAGTCTCTGCTTCATCTTACCTCAACAAACTAGTTGCAAGAGTCTAGGGACTACTCTGCATTTCAAAGTCAGGACGGTTCAGATCTAGTCTGAATTGACAGACTACAGAGAGATGACTGTAGAACAGCCTAAATGCCCAGGTAATTACTCTGAAAGACCCTTGATCAAACACCCCTTAAGGGCCTCCTAACAATTGCCATATTATTGGTGACTTTATTCCCTTTCTCCAGAAGAAAAAGATGGGATTAATCTGTGACATACGGCGACAACATTTACTAAGTCACAGTAAGACATTTGCTCTCCCAAAAGTTCAATAAAATGCAACAATAAGAAAAGAGAGCACCAAGTCGGTGAAATCCTTGCAAGAACCCTCCCACATTTAGCAGTCTTTGGTTTCTGCGAGAGAATAAATGGTACCTGTCCTCTCAACCTGCCCTAAAGGAAGTAGACTTATGACTAGATGTCAACTAGTCCATTTCTGCCCTCAAAGAAGTTTTCGGGGGAGGTGAGATCCCTCACACCGATTATTAACTAGACACCTGTGATATCCAGAACACAGGCTGTGTTTTTGCCAGCAAACAACTTTGGGATCTACTCTCAAGTCCAAACAAGCTTTGCAAGTCCAGGTCTGTCTTTCACAAGTTCATAGTAATCTCTTCCTGGCAGAGGGCCACAAAAGCAATGGGTAATACCAGAATGGTGCTTACCATGGTCTTAAGTGGAGAAATACTGACAGGTAGCCCTGCCTTGGGAAGTGACAGGGAGGTGAAATATGAATCTACATGTACCCAGTATTCTGCCAATCTAATCTCCCCAGATTGTGGCAATAAAAAGGAACCAACCAGTCAGGACCCAGAATTCTCCCCATGGATATTTAAACCAGAATGGGCAACCACTACCATCACGGACCAAAATGGATTTAGATCACACAGCTGCACTCCAAGGACTCCTGCCAGCTAGCAGTGCAAGCTAGTTTCAGTCATTTCATTAATTCTAAATAAATGGCTCCCACATTGTCCATGACTATAGTTTTGGTCCCCACTTATCACTATTAAGAGGCTTAATTGTCACAGGGGAAGGAGTGTGCCATGTCACAACTCTGGTGCCTAGGGGCCCTGGCAGAGAATATAACTGTAAGTTGCACATTGTCAGACATTTCCTGAAATAAAAGCCCCTTTCAACAAGGTATGAGAAACAGTTTATTCTCTCCTTAACTGTAAGGAAATGGCTTAAGCCTGGTGATGATGGCAAATGACACAGTTTTAGCAGCATGAAAAGGATGGCAAAGCACTGTTGCCAATGGGGAGTGTTTGCCCCATTTAAAACCCAATCCAAATAACTGTCTTCAAAAAAACCAAAAATTCAGACTCTTATAAAGTCTGATTTGTGGTCTTTGGGGTTTTTTTTGAGAAAGGTCCGGCTCTGTCACCCAGGCTGGAGTGCAGTAGCGCCATCTCAGCTCACTGCAACCTCCACCTCCTGGGTTCAAGTGATTTTCCCACCTCAGCCTCCTGAGTAGCTGGGCCGATAGGTGCACGCCACCACTCCCGGCTTTTTAAAAAAATTTTTTATAAATAGAGGTTTTTCCATGTTGCCCAAGCTGGTCTTAAACTCATGAGCTTAAGTGAGCTTCCCACCTCGGCCTCCCAAATTGCTGGGATAATAGACCTGAGCCACCGTGCCCAGCCTGATTTGTGTTTTAAAATGCGGTGTGAACAACACACATTTTTAAACCAAAAGCTGCAGCCCATGGGCTGTTGTATGCTACCTCTGAGGAAGCAGGACATTCTGTTTTCCACTAGTCCCACACTGGGAATTTATGACAACCTGAGAGCACCAAGCACCTGAGAGAGAAGGTGGCAGGAAGAAGGCAGAAGGAAACCAAAGACAAATTTCTTGACCTATTTCAGAATGCTTCCCAGGTCTCCCATCTCTTCCTTTTCACTTCTAAACCACAGAAGTTGACTCCTAGCATCCAAAATTCAGAAATGAACCTAACATCATCATGATCATTTCAGTCTTATTTTGCATCAGATAATCCTTTGCAGGCTAGTCTGTGAACTTAGCCCCTATGTATTACACTGTTTCTACAGGATCTCATGATTCCAACAATATACCTTAAATGAACTCTGAGAACCCAAGCTGGAAATTAACCTATATGCTGACAGTCACGTTCTCAGCATCTCTCATAAATACCAATATTCTGCAAAGTCATTCAGTTTCAAAACTCCCATGATTTCAAAACTTCCATCATCCTTATCTATTTTTTCTTCCCTGTGCCCTTTTATTAGTCATCATATATTGGTGATTTTTTTTTAAACAACACTTACCTATCATTCCCACACCACTGGTCTAAGCCAAGCCCTCAACACTTCACACCTAGCCTACTGCAACTACCTCTAAACTGGTCTACGTGCCTTAAGGCATTTTGTTTTATTTTTTTAAAGACTTTATTTTTTAGAGTAATTTCAGGTTCACAGCAAAATTAAGGGAAGGTTAAGGATTTCCTATATAACCCTTGCCCCAAAAGATGCATAGCTTCCTCCATTAACATCTTGGGTGGTACATTTTAACTGTTGATAAAAATACACTGACACATCATAATTGCCCAAATCCTAGTTTACATTGGGGTTCATTCTTGGAATTGTACTGTCTTCAATTATTTGGATGAGTGTGAGAAGGGCTGGTATTAATTCTGCTTTAGATGTTTGGTAGAATTCACCAGTGAAGCCAGCTGGTCTTGGGCTTTTCTGTGTTGAGAGGCTACTGATTACCATTTCAATCTCTTCATCAGTGACAGGTTTGTTTCCTGTTTCTTTATGATTCAGTCTTTGTAGACTGTGTGTTTCTAACAATTTATTCATTTCTTCTAGGTTACACGTGTTGTTGGCATACAGTTTCTTATAAGTAGTCTTTATGAACCTTTTATTTCTGTAGCATTAGTTGTAATGTCTCCTCTTTCATTTATGATTTTACTTCATTTATTTTGTATAATTTCAACTTTTATTTTAGATTCAGAGGGTATGTGTGCAGATTTGTTACATGAGTATACTGTGTGATGCTGAGGTTTGGGGTACAAAAGATCCTGTCACCCAGGTAGTGAGTCCAGTATCCAACAGGTAAGTTTTCAGCCCTTATCCCCCTCCTCCTCTAGTAGCCTTCAGTATCTATTGCTGCCATCCTTGTTTCAACGTGTACCTAATGTTTAGCTCCCACTTATAAGTGAAAACATATGGTATTTGGTTTTCTGTTTCTGCATTAATTCACTTAGGCCTCCAGCTGCATCCATATCACAGCAAAGGATATGATTTCATTCTTTTTTATGGCTGTTCTGCCTTTTGTCTCTCCTATCTCCCATGCACATGGTCAGTGCTAACATCCTAGAACAGTCTGCATTTAAAAGCTTCCTTGATGAAAACTTGGAAACACTGTTCTGAAGACTCTCTAGAGCCTCTTACCCAGCTCTAAAACTCTGATGTTACATGGGTTTCAAATAAAATGTCATTTGTAAAATTAGATATGCTACTAAAATATGAAAGACTAATATCAAAAGCAAATGGTAATCTTGGTGTAGAAACAGTTAATTTAAATGTAAAAGATCATACAAGAAAACAATTCTCATAAATCTAAACCTAAAGCCATTTTGTGGTACAATTCTCTAAATTGTAATATTGGCTTTATTAGTAGTAGTATATTTGAACAGTACTTTTGTTATAATTTTTGATGAGAAATTATTTACAGAAACAGGCTGTATAGAATAGTGTTTTGTGTGTGAAATCACTCAAAATGGATTAGATGAGGGTGCTGAAAGATTATAAAATACATTACTTTTAGCTGACAAGATATTATAAATACATATAAGATTCTGGTTGTTAGCTCCTTCCAAATGAAAAATATGGGAAGAATTCAGTTCTAAATGAAAATATGAGATGAATCATCTCATTCTTATAGGAACATTTTATCACAAAAATAATGTAGTGCCTTTAAAACTGCAATACCTATAATCTACACTGAAGCAACTCTAATGCATTAGTAATTTACAAACTTTTAAAGTAGAGTGTGAAGGTATTTTAAAAGTCATTTTCTAAAAACCTCCTTCATTCCCTAAGTGTTCTCTTATCCTAATATTATAAAATAAAGCTGGTTAAACTGTAGATTTTTTTAAAAAATTTTTTTTCAATGGCCTTTAGGGTAAAATTGGTTTTCGGTTACATGGATTAATTGTATAGTGGTGAAGTCTGAGATTTCAACGCACCAGTCACCCAAGTAATGTACAGTGTACCAAATATGTAATTTTTTATCTCACATCCCCACAACCACCCTCTCCCACTCTGAGTTTGCATAAATTTTAGATTCTTTTACTCCATTACCTTCATAGTATCTGTGAGGACCACCTTTTCTGGGGTAAAGGAAACTATCATTTCATTCTTGATGCTAATGCATATGACATACAGTACCTCTAATGACGTTACAGGTAACGCACAGCTTCCCACACTGAACAATTCAATGAGAGACTCTAAGCAACATGTTTGTGGTAAAAATCAGGTTCAATGTTACTGCATTTAAACGATGTAATCATAAAGAGAAAGCACTAATTTTAGAGATATTATGCAGTAATTATTATTTTTTTGAGACGGAGTCTTGCTCTGTTGCTCAAACTGGAGTGCAGTGGTACAATCTCAACTCACTGCAACCTCCACCTCCCTGGTTCAAGCGATTCTCCTTCCTCAGCCTCCCCAGTAGCTGAGATTACAGATGTGCACCACTGCACTCAGCTAATTGTTGTATTTTTAGTAGAGACAGGGTTTCACCAGGTTGGCCAGGCTGGTCTCGAACTCCTGACCTCAGGTAGTCCACCCGCCTCGGCCTCTCGAATTGCTGGGATTATAGGCATGAGGCACCGCACCCGGCCATATGCAGCAATTTCTTTACAGAGTAAAATTTAAAAAAACACTGAATCATACCTTACTGGTACAACTCTTGCACCTGCAGACTCCAAATACTTTACATAGGATGCAGCAATATAGTATCTTCCATAGTTTTTCATGACTTTATTACGGCATTTTTGCATTAGTATTCCTAATAACAAAAAAAAAAGTTTAGTTTCAAGCAAATTTCTTCTTGCTCAGAAACTGAAATCTATCACAGCAAAAATATCATATTTTATTATTTCAATTCACAGAATTAAATAGGAAGTTTCTCCTCCAAGTCCACCCACAGGCTGTGGGAAAGAAGCAGAGGAGGCTAATCCTGGTTTCAAGTAGATCTATCTCTCACCACATCAGGGAAGCCAAATAAGCCCCCAAAGAAGGACTACAGTAGCACATGCAGCCTTCACACAACTGTAGACCTAGAATCCATCTAAAGAATACAGATCCTTAAATCTACAAGACTGTCGCTCCTTTCCCACACATACTCACAGACACACTGATTCCCTGACAATGAAGCAAAGGAGTGAAAACATCTTCCATCCACACCTCTCCAACATTACTTTAGCCCAAACTATCAATATCTCTCCTCTCCCCACTGCACTATGATAATAGACTCTTAGAAGGTCTTCTTACATCTTTTCTTAAGAAATCCCTCAAGCTCCAAGCAGCTCCCCGCATAGAAGCAAATCGGATCACATCACCATTCCTATTCCTACAGTCATTCAATATATACTGTTGAATCATACCTCATGCCAGGCAACAAACTAGGTGCTGGGGACACATGAATATGAGAGAACCAAACAAAAACCCCTACCCTGTGTGTATTAAATCAAATATGTATCAGGGAAGGGAGAGAGGCCAAACAATAAACAAGATAAAAAGGCATAATATATAGAGTGGCTGGTCGTAGGCACTAAGGAGAGAAAGAAGGTGGGGAAGGAGATCCCATCTGTGGAGGAAAGGACAGTGTCTTCAATATGGTGGCCAGGCAAGTCCTCCTTGAGAAGGTAAAACATGACATTTGAGCCAGGACTCCAGAGAGGTGACAGAGTAAACCATATTCACATATCTGGGAAAAGAGGAATCCAGGAAAAAGGAATGGCAAGAGAAACGGCCAGGAGTCAGGAAGGTGCCTGTCACATTGCAAGGAATCCATGTTACTAGAGCCAGGTGAGTGAAGGCAGAAAGCAATAGGAAAGGAGATCAGGGAGAGACAGATCAGCAAGCAGGTGTCACCACCTTGTTTAACTACCTCAGTGGGTCCCTAAACTTTAATAAACTCTGTAAGACCCTGTGTGCTCTGCCCCACCCATCTCTCTGGCCTCCTTTTACCAGTGAAACCCAGCCCCAGCACAGTACAGCAACCAGCACACATCAAAACACGTCTGTCGGGTGAGTACCTGTGCCTACTACCATTCAGCACTTCAGCATTTGGAACACTTTCAGTGTCTCTGTAGGCCACCTGATAGGAAGAGCTGTTGTCTGTATTACTCACTTTTGTATTTCCAGCTTCTTACAATTGGCATTCATCAGGTATTCCGGTAACATATCAAACGACAAAATTTGTTCCGTAAGACTTTTTGTCCTTACTGGTAGGTAAAATCATCTTTACTAAGGAATACAAAGTTTGACTAGGGAACAAAGAACTAGGAATGTCATAGGAAATGGAGTGGTACAGGGTACATGGAGTGAGGTACCACAAAGGTGACATGGGCCATCATGGGAGCACAAGGGTTACCAGAAAGAGAAGTACATCAAAGTGAGTTCCACCAACATCTCCCCTTCCCCTGGGCCCAGCATACTCACTTTTCCCATCCCTGGGAAAAGAGCTCAAGCTGTTCTCCCTCTCCCTCAAAATGTGACCAAAATTTCACCAATAATTTAAGGCCATCTGATAACTTTTGTAGCTTCCTTGTCATCTTTTAATCCTTTGCACTTCCTAGAGCAAGACTGTGTACATAGTCGGTACTCGGTTAACGATTCTGTGCTGATCTCAGTGACCAAAAGCAAAGTCCCTTTTTTAAATATTTGACACAGGGCTACCCCCGATTCTAGGAAAGGGAAAACAATCCCCTCTGCTTTTTTTCTCTCCTCTGGACACACAATATGCAACCTGTTACATTAATTACAGCTTGAGTTAGTTCGTGGAGAATCAAATCACCATGTTAAACAGCTATGAAATAAGTTCCAAATATTAGTAAGCAATCCATTTGAAAATTGGGCACTACCTATATGAAAAAACATTCATCTAATTTCTGTTTAGTTACAGAATACAGTGATAATCTTCATAGAAAAAAAATAGTATGAAAGGCATAATCCTACAGCCAAAATAAAACTAATCTTAATTCCACACAAATTTATTTGGGCAAATTTTAACCCCAGGATGATTTCTCCCAGGTAGCCTTCCTTGGGCCTGTCTCAAATGTGTGTTTTCGTAACAAAGACTGATTTTACTATCTCTTTAAAACACAAATATGTTGGAAACGAAAAATTGTGTACTGCATTTTAACATCAAATAGAACCTACATTAGGATATTAGCCACTGTTGTCCTCTGCTACTGAACATGACAAAATCCAAATTATACCTTAATTTCTTGATTTTATATTACAATGCACTAGTATTTTAAATACGCCCTCAACCTGAGACATTTTGACAAATGTAATGCACGCACGTGTAGATGTAAATGAGTAAAAAATTCCCAACTATGTGCGAAAAAGAAATGTTTTATTTTAGTATAAATTCCTAGCTGCGTACAAAAAAAGAAAATCCGTAGGATTCTTCACGGTGCACCCTCCTCCCTTCCATCTTTAAGAGCCATATGAGTCTAAAGGAATGAACGAGACACTTCAACTAGGTACATTTCAGTACGATCCAAATGGTACCCAGCCCGAGGTCCTCCTTGCACCAAAAGCCAAGCACATCTGGGGTTTTTCCCCGGCAGCTGGAGCGCGGCGGCGGGAGGCGCCCAGCGCCGACACCCAGCCCCTCCCCATATGCTGCGGCCCCGCACAGCTTCCTTACCGATGATGGGCTTCTTGGCGGTGTCACCGTGGGGTCTGGACAGCCGGAGGCTCGCCGCCCCGCAGAGTAGCAGGCCCAGCACGCACAGTAGGCGGTCTGGGCTCGCCATGGCGCTCGCCACCTCCCGCCGCCTTTCAAAAGCTCTGCGGGCCGGCGGGCTGGGGCTGCAGCGGGGACACCTCGCGGCCGCGCACTCGCGTGGGGCTCGGGTGGGCGGTGCTCCGCAGCGCGGGCCTATGGGAAATGCAGTTCCGGCGCGCGCTAGGCGGCCTGGGGCGGCGGTGGGCGGCTCTGGGACTGCGGCCCGCGCTGCGCGCCCGCCCCGTTGCTCTGTCCCCGGTCCGCGACCGCGACCCCCACGGGTCACCTAACCGGAGACTCTGGAAACGCCTGGGGCGGGTACCGGGTGGTGTCCGCGTCCTTCCCTTTCAACTGTTATGTCGATGTGGCCTTCAATCAGCCCTACAAAGCTGGGCCGGCCAACCCGGGCCCTCGAGAGGGGAGGTTGGGTGTCCCTGGCAGCGTGTGGTAACCAGGCAGCGGGGAGGCTGGCGGGAGATTCTAGAAGGCCCCTGAGAACTGCGCGCCAACCGCACCGCCTACTTGAAGGTCGGGGCCCTATGTCTGGGAATGGTGACAACGTTCGCTGTACGGACAGCCTGTGTCTTGGAATGTGAATGTCCACATCTTGCTGTTTTGGGGGTCCCGGCATCTGTAGGAAGTGAAGAAGACTGGACGGCGATGTGAACACATACACAGGCGCATCACTAGGCTCAGAACTGGCCCAACTCCCAGCTTCTACTGCGAAGCGAGCACGCCCAGGCCACGCCTGCAAACGGGGTCAGTCCTTTGATCAACCGCGGTCAGCGCCATCCACCGACGACCACTAAGTAGCCTATCCACCAGGGCAGAAAAGATGACTGGTTCCTATTCATTAAAACTGTTGTGATTGTTCCTAAATACATGGATATATAGCTCGTACTAGGTGAAATATCCCATCTATAAGGGCCAACTTAAATTCAGAATAAAACAAGAATATTTGAAAACCTACTACATCAATGCTCGGTATTAAAGGTGAAAACATAAATTGGACAATGTCTTTTTCACAGGTTTAAATTTAGTAAGGAAAAAAGGCAGAAAACATGACTCATAGAGACAATAGGAACAGTTTTAGCATATTGCAAGAAGAGTAAATGCAGTGAATGGTCTGGTTTAACAAGGAAATAATGCTACTGTAGAAGGGCGTGGTGAGAGGTAAGCAATAAAGGATCTGATGAAAGACATGAAAGGGTCGAGCTGGTTTTGAGCATGATTAAATAGACAAGTAGCCTTGTAAATATGAACTTGTGGTGCCAAAATAATTGATTATCCACGTAGGAAAAATTTTTTACCTGGCATTACACACAAAAATAAACTCCAGGTGAAGTGAATATGTAAATATGAAAGGCAAAATATTATACTTTGATAAGAAAATATAGAAATATGTGTTCACAACTTTGGCGGTCAGAAGTTTCAAAAAACATTAAAAATAAAAATGTTAATTAAAAATTGACTAATAACTAAGAAAATTAAAGTTAAAGCACAAACTTGGAAAACGTAGTTATAAAATATAAAGTATTTCTAAAATATGCAAAGAGGTAATAAGAACAATGACACACTAGAAAAATGGAAAAAATGTGAACAGCAAGCCAAACTTTCTGTAGTCATCCGAAAAATGCAAGTTAAGACAAGATAATATGTCACATCCATTAGACTGTGCAGAAAAACAGCCTGTTTCGTGGCAAGAGTGACACCAACTTGAAGCAAAACTATCTTGGGAACTGATGTTTGACCCACTGCATACCAAAGTGTTCTGCAGCAAAGGTCTTTAAACAATGTTCATAACATACATACATAATCCCTCATAAAGATGCTTATCTAACGTCCCCAGTGATCACAATAGTCTGAGAGCTAACTAGTCGCACTTCTTTTTACCCTTATATCTTGCTAAATAAAGCATACTTTCAGGAGAGCAAGTGCAAGGGTTGCTTCTGTTTGTCTCTATTAAGTGTTTCTTTCTGAGAAACTGGGTTGGTCAGCCTCTTTAGTCTCCCTGCTTCCTCGGTCTTTGGAAGCAGGTTTCTGTAAATTGACAAAAATGTAAGCCTTTGATAATAAGTGAAGGATGTAGTAAAATGAGAGTTCTCTGCATTTCTGGTGGAATTGTAATTATTGTAACTATTTTTGAGAAAAATTAAGCAATATCTGGTAAAGGTGAAGATCTACATATTTTGTAACGCAGTACTTCTTAGATATAAGTATGTACCTAGATTAATGCATATGCCTGTGAACAAAAAAATATGTGTAAGTATGCTTTTTGGAACATCTTTTTGTAATAGCAAAATATTAAATGTAAATGACCAATGTCATGAAGCTTTTCCCTTATGTTTTCTTCTAGTCATTTTACAGTTTCAGGTCTCATATTTAAGTGCTTAATTCACTTTAGTTGATTTTTGCACATGGTGAGAGATAAGGATCTAATTTCAGGTTTTTCCCAACACTAATTATTGAAGAAGATGCCCTTTCCCCATTGTGTGTTCTTGGCACCTTTGTCAAAAATCAATTGACAACATATGTGTTGGGCCTTCTATCCTGGCGCATTGGTCAATGCCCGTATTTTTATGCCGGTACAATGACATTTTGATTAAATTACTATAATTGTAATATGTCTTGAAATCACAGAGTATGGTGCCTTCAACTTTGATTTTTTTTTCTCAAGATTGTTTTAGGTATGTGGGGTCTTTTGTGGTTTCATACAAATTTAAGGATTTTTTTACATTTATGTGAAAAAAGTGACATTGGAATTTTTGTAGGGATTACAATGAATCTGTAGATTGCTGTAGGTAGTATAGACACATTGACAATATTAACTATTCCAATCCGTGAACATGAGGTATCTTTCCATTTACTTGTATTTTCTTCAATTTCTTTCATGTGTTTTATAGTTTTCAGTGTACAGGATTTTTGCTTACTCATTAAATGTACACCTAAGTATTTAATGTTTTGTTACTATTTTAAAGGGGATTGTTTTGTTAATTTCATTTTAATTTGTTATTAGTATATAAAAATGCTACTGACTTTTATATGTTGATTTTGTATTCTGCAACTTTACTGTTCATTTATCAGTTCTAATAGTTTTTTGGTGGATTTACATATAAGATCATGTCATCAGAAAATAGAGATATTTTCACTTCTTCATTTCCTATTAGGCTTCAATTTTTCCTCTTGCCTAATTGCTGTAGTTGGGACTTCCAGTACTATATTGAAAAGAAGTGGTGAGGATAGGCATGCTTGTCTTGTCACTAGAGGAAAAGCTTTCAGTGTTTTACTATTGAGAATGATGTTAGCTAAGGGTTTGTCATATGTAACCTTTATTGTGCTGAGGTACATTCCCTCCATACCTATACCCAATTTGTTAAGAATTTTATCATAAAAGGATGCTGAGTTTTTTCAAATGTTGTTTCTGCATGTATTGAAATCATTATATGATTTTCATCCTTTAATAATGTGGTGTATCACATATTGATTTGTGCGTGTATATATGTCTATTATAGTAGATATAGGCAATGCATATTGTAATGTCTCCTCTTTCACTTCTGATCTTATTTGAGTAGTCTCTTGTTTTCCTAGTCTAGCCATGGGTTTGTCAACTTTGTTTATCATTTCAAAACACCAACTTAGTTTTGTTGACATTTTCTATTGTTTTTCTAGTCTCTATTTCATTTATTTCTGTGCTGAGTTTTGTTATTTCCTCTCATCTGCTATCGTTGGGCTTAGTTTATACTTATATTTCTAGTTTCTTGAGTGGTAACATTAGATTATTTGTAACCTTACTTTATTTGATATAGATGTTCATTGCTATGAATTTCCCTCTTAAGATTGCTTTTGCTGTCTCCCATAAGTTTTGATATATTGTCTTAAAATTTTCGTTTGTCTCATGGTAATTTTTTATCTTCTATTTGCTTTCTTTAACCTATTGGTTGTTTAGGAGAATGTTGTTTCATTTCCACACATTTGTGTATTTTCCAAGATATCTGTAATCCTGGAGGTTATTGATTTCTGATTTCATGCCATTGTGATCTCGAAAGATTCTTAATATGATTTCAATTCTCTTAAATTTGTTAAGATTTGTTTTGTGCATTAACATATGGGCTATCCTGGAGAATGTTCTATGTGCACTTAAGAAGGATGTCTATTTTGTTGCTATTGAATACAGTGTTGTGTGTATTTCTATTTGGTCTATTTAAAGTGTAATTCAAGTCCATGGTTTCTTTGTGGATTTTCTCTCTAGACGATCTGTCCATTATTGCAAGTGGAATATGGAGAGCCCCTACTGTAATATTATTAAATTCTATTTTTTCCTTTAGATCGTTTAGTAATTGCTTTGTGTATTTAGGTGCTCTGATCTTAGGTAGGTGTATATTTACAATTGTTATGTCTTTGTGGTGATTTAAATTCTTTGTTATGTAATGGCCTTCTTTTTCTCTTTTTGTAGTATTTAACTTAAATCTATTTTGTCTGATATAAGTATAGCTACCCCAGCTCTCTTTTCGTTTCTATTTGCATGGAATATCTTTTCCATCCCTTTACTTTCAGTCTGTGTGTGTCCTTATTACTAAAGTGAGTCTCTTGTATGCAGCTTATGATTAGATCTTGCTTTTTTTAAATCTATTCAGCTGCTCCATGTATTTTATTGGACAGTATAATCCATTTACATTGAAAGTCATTATGGACAAGTAAGTGCTTACCACTGCCATTTTGTAATTTCTCTTCTGATTGCATTATAGGTCTTTTGCTTCCTTCTTTCTCTCTTACTATCTTTGTGGTTTGGTGGCTTTGTATGGTTGTGTACTTTTTATCCTTTCTTTTTATATTGTGTGTAACTACTATAAATGTTTGCTTTGTGATTACCATGAGGCTTACATAATATAGCTTATCCTTAAAACAGTTTACTTTAATCTGATAAAACTTGTCTTTAATTGCATATAAAAACTCTACACTTTCACTCCCTCCCACCCATATTTCATTATTTTGATGTCAAAATTTACATATTTGGTAATTTGTATTCATTAATAATTTGCATAGCTATAGTTGGTTTTAATAGTTTTGTCTGGACACCACTGATAGCTGTTCCTGACATGCATGTGCAAGCATTGACTCCACTGCCACCACCCTGATGAAGTGCTTTGGTTGGCACTCCTCATCAGAGTATTGTTACCAGCAGACTGGGAGCACCTTAACCCCTAAGGTGCAGTAGGTGCTTAACCTCAAGGTGCCAGAGAGCAAACCTATGGGCCTGGTACTAGACGTCCAGGATTACAGCAAGCAGCTCAAGAGTACTTAGCTGAGCTTTGGTCCCCTGAAATCTTCCAGAAAGAAAACCAGTCAACTAAACCCAACTTATACCACAGTCAAACCCTTATGATATCAAGGAATATAAAAGCAAAAAACCCCATCCAAAAGACAGCAACTTTAAAGACTAAAGGAACATCAGGCCACTGTGTTCCTGGCCTGAGAAACAACCAGTGCAAGAACTCTGG